CATCACATCTCACTACTCTCTTCTCTTCTCCCTTCTTCTTATTCTTGGCCTGCGCAACTCACCACCATATTCATTCCCACTTTAAAATCTATAAGAAATTCTCTCTAATCTCTCAAGGAAACAAAGAAAAATGCTCCCCTTTCCTCTTTAAAAACTATGATTTATGTGGGTTAGCTAAAGGTGGATCATTTCAGGATCACTTACTAGGTAAGTTAGTTCATTCTTAGCTTAGATAAATCCATCTTATGTCTAGATCTTCCTCAAAACATCACAAATCTTGTGTTTATACTCTTAAAGACATCATATTTTCGAGGATCCTCTCAAGCAAGCTTCTAGGGCTGAGATCTCATCCATCCTTCATCAAGAACCAAAATCTACAAAGCAAAGTGAGTTAATACCCTCCTATTTTCGTTTTTTATTATGTTTTAGGGGAGAATACAAGTTGTTTTGTGTAGATCTATTTGTGTATGCATGATATTGTGTGTTTTTCAAGATATATGTGTGATTATGTGTTATAAACTCAATGAACTTGAAGATATACTAAAATGTGATGATATTTGTAGAACATAACACTCATTTCAACTAATTATGCAAAGAAAAGCTTTAAAAATTACATCAAAGTTATTTAAAACTAAGAAATTTGCATAAGAGGGCCAAAAATGACAAATTAACCAAAAATGAGGTATTTTTATATAACTCACGGTTTTGAAGGGACCAAAAAGGATGTATTTTGATAAATATGAATCTTTATGGTATTTGTGATCTAAAAAAGGGCTAGAAGTGTAAAAGTTAATAAATGGGCTTTTAAGATTTTTTGGGCCAAGATTGTATATTGTTGGACTTTTGTGGGCTTAAATGACATTTTCAACAAAGCTATGTAAAAATGTAATTTTTTATAAGAGGAACTAAAATGTGAATTTATTAAAACTTGGGCCAAAAAGAAAATTTTATTTATAAATGGGCCGAAAATGCACATTTTCATAAAGCCAAGCCAAAAATTGATATTTTTGATAAAAGTGAGTTAAAAATATTATTTCTACTTAAAACTAGCCTCAAATGCAAATTTTGGCCTTAAAGGACCTAAAATGTCATTCTTACCAAAAATGTGCTACAATTGTAAATTTCGATTTTTGAGGACCAAAAAAGACCTTTTACAAAAAAAAGTGAGCTTTTTATGTCACTTTGGTAAACAACGTAGCTCAAACAACCAAGGTAACAAACCACAGATCGATTTTGGTATTCACGTCCTTATTGGGCCTGTAAATAATATACATATTAAATGGGCTTAGTTGTCCTTTTACATGTATATTGGGTCCAAGATATGTATTCATATTCCTTTTGAATCTAGAAATAATTTCATGCTTAGTGGGCCATAGTTGTCCACTTACATGTTTATTGGGTTTGGAATACACCTTATATGTCCTCTTTTTTTCGCATAAATTCGATTAAGGATCTAGTGAGATGTTGTGGTTGACACCTATTGAGTGTACAATTGTAGCCTGTAGTTATAACCAGAGTCTCTTGGTGGGAGATCGGGAGTTTGTGTATAGATCTATACGGGGGTGGCACCTTACACCTGATTTGTTCGCTACAGTTAGACTAGGCCAGTCTAGGGTGACAAAAACCTTACCTTATTCCATCGGCTTCCGAAAAACGCCAAGACAGACGAAATTGTCATTATCTAGTATGGTTATAACGATTCACTTAGAGGAATTAACGTTATAAAATTTACGGGAAACCATCTTTTCTTTTGGATAACACGGTAGCATACTTGCGCTGGTACTCAAACTCGGGTGTTGAGATTCCAGCATTCTCATAAGCAGAGAACATAGGGTTGTTTGGGGACATTCTTTTTATACTCTCACAAACATTAACACACATGCATTAATACAAGATCGGACACAAACATTTCAAAATTTTCAAACTGATTTTCAGAAAATATCAGATTTTCTAGTGTTTACAAAATAATACAAAACCTTTTACTCAAACATGCTTATGAACTCACAAACATTTTTATGTTGATCTTTTTAAATTAACTTGTATTCTCAAGAAACCGTTGAGTAGGTTGGCCAGCAAGACTACATGGATATTTTGTTTTCAGCATACTTTGAATATTTTGGCATTACAATAATTGATGTAAACTAATGACAATTGTAATATTACATGTGTGATGATGATGATGATGTTATGTTTCAATTATATACTCTGTGATGATAGTACAAAAATGAAGTCACCCAAGCCCCCGGACGTTTCCACCGTCTGGCTCAGGGGTGTGACAAATTGATATCAGAGCATTGTTTATAGTGAACTGACATATCTAATCATACAAAATATGAAACTATAAATACAATAAGACTAAAACACTCTGAATAAAATAAAACCTAGGTGTGCATTAATACTATAACCCTAAAAGTCTCTTGAGGAAATTGAACACCATGATTAAACCTGGACAATTATGTAGTAGTAGTAGTGGGGGTAAATATAGACTAGTCAACTATATTTATTCAAAATACGACCAACATGTGTTTGGGAGTGATCATGTTGGGAAATGAATCTAGAAACTCACCTCGTATCTAAAAAGCTCTAAGGAACCCAAACATAAACAATTAAAGCACTATAGGAGTATTCTGGAATGTTATCTACATACTTACCTTACACGTTTCTCACCCTTCGTCCAAACACCATGGCTGGATTCCATCATCCAGAAGATCCCTACTTCCCTAACCATGGGAATGGTGGATGGCTGGAGCCGGAGGAAGAACTGGAAGAAGAACTCGAAGAAGAAGAACTTGAAGAAGGGCCGACAGAACCGGTAGTAGACTCAGATGAGGAGGAGGTTGATGGTAGCGATGCAGATGACTCGGATGTGGAGTTTGAAGTCATGAATCCGCCATACATGGCCAGGGTCCCCCCATATAGAATGGGACCCAATGATCCTATGCCCCCATGGGCACACGAGATCTGGAGGTGGAGCCACCAACAAGTGGTGCGACCCCCATCCGATATGAATCGGGACTACTATAACCTGAGTCACGATGGACCTGCAGACCGAGCCTTGCTAGTAATGGTAAGGAGGACATGCTACGTCGGCAAGAAGGCACAAGCTATTAGGTTTTGAGATTCTAACACTCCTATGGTGTACATGCAACCCTAGAAACCTTGGATCCATGTTTTCTCTAAAATACATGAAAATTTGTTTTCCAAGGTTTACAACCTAACTAGCATGTTATGGGGTACTTGTAATACAAAACTTTAAGTAGAATAACATACCTTTCTTTTGTAGTTGATTGCTTGGAGTTTTAGAGCCTAGCACCAATAGTATGGATGCCTCAAGTGGTATCACAAATCACCCAAAACGATTTGGAAGTACTTGAGAAAATATGATGCTCACTAAAATCGGCCCACTCTTGTTTCACACATACACACGTGCCAATTCTAGAACCAAGGACCTCTTTATATAGTATGGAGGATTAGGGTTAAACCCTAATACCCATGACTCTTCATTTACCTAGGATCCATGGGTTAAAAGCTCCATCGACTATCCATGGACTTCCATATATTCTTAGCCCATCCTAAATAAATATTAGCCCAATCCATATATATTTAATAGTCCCTATTTAATTAGCCTCTTTTAATCACTAAATTAAATCCAAAATCAATTCTTGATCAAAAATAATTAAATAATATGATTTCATATTAATATATTATAAACATCTTATTCTCAAAAGTATATCTATACAAATTGTTAGGTGAAGTGCAAGTGTGCAACCCAAATGGACCATGCCGGGTCGGATCAAGTTCATACCAAATATAGTTACAAACTTATGTTAGAAAAATATCCTTTTAGTATGGCCTTTAGACTATTCTTGTAATGTTTATTAGAGATGAGTTACATTTATAGTGTGTACCATAATATTCGCCATATGACATATTTTGTCCATAGGATTAATTTATGTAGTATGATGCACATGGCATTTATCCATAACTTGAGGGATTAATTTTGAGTGATTCTAAATACTTTCCATAAGTTGTAATTGATAAATAAATACACACATTTGAGAGGCGTACGTTTTGAAGAAGGAATAATGTTTCTTCTTTTTTACTCTCAATCCTCTATATGAACACCATCATAGTGTGATTCAATCCATCAGAATCAGTCATTTAGACACCATTATGTGAAGTTGAAGAATCAATGGGTGATCGTCATCTCCAACATTGAGATATCATCTTCTTCAAGTAATTACTCTTTCAATTGATCTAGGGTTCTTCATCTGTATGGATAAATTGAACTTGGATTATGCCTAAAAACCCAATATGTGGTATCAGAGCATGACTTAATCTAAAATTATCAAACCCTAATTTCATATTTAAAGTCTTGATAAATAATTGTTATCTACTGTAATATAAATAACAATTTCATGTTTTCGGGTGATTTGCATTTTGAATCCCATACTCATGGTTGACGTTCTATTTATGATCACATTATAAGGTTATGAATTTTAACTGCGTATACAAATATGTGTCTGCCCCTTGTGTGCATAACAAGAACAAATAATGAAAGCTACAAATATGGAAATCATGTGCGGTGTGTGCAGAATTAAGTAAATACATATTACTTGTTTCATTGGTCATCATGCGACAAAGTATAAAATGGATTGATTCAAATGGTTTCGCTATTTTATGAGCCACTAATTTTCAAAATAAAAGAAGCTTATCATTAAGAATATGAAACAAGCAATATTTTATTGGTTTTGTGAATAGTAATAAAATTATACAATATATTAAAGTTATCCAACCTTAGCTACAGTAAAGTGGCTAAGGTTTGGCATAATTGATCCCTAGGTATTTGTATATTGTCAATTTCTATTTTTTTTTTCTTCAGGGGCCTTTTAGATCATTTTTGAAATTGGAGTTGTATACGTTTCTTTGTATTTGTACTTCACCGCTTTGTAAGCCAATGAGATTAAGATCAGTGTTATTCTTCTTCACGGCTACGTGTTATGGTCTGCTCCTCCACCTCCTACTGTTGCCAATTACATACAAACGGCATCGCCTTTGATTGCTTGGAAATATCCCCATATACTCGACTCTTCATCTCTTTCAGTCTTTCTTCATTCTCTCGATTCTTCTCTCTGGTAAAAGCACCGCCTTTGATTGCTTGGAAGCTATCGGCCCTCATATCACACTTCCTCTGAGCAACGACCATGACCGGGTGTTAGGTGGGTTTGCTAGACGGGAGAGGAAGAGGAGGGTGCGAGCGGTGGGACGCTGAGCGACGGCAGTTCCAGTAAGGTTCGGTGGTAGAAACAAATTCCCCTGCGTTTCCCATATTTAGGATTTTAATTTCTTCTTGGTTTTTTATTAGGGCTTTATCGTTCCTTCCGCTACGTTGACACCTCCGGTCATACCCGATACGCCTTCAGTTGCATCGGACATGTCTACAGTTATACTAGAGACGACTATCATGGAGTGACTTTTTAAAGATTGAATTTTTATTCCATTTTATTCATTGTTAGTTACTTTTTAACAATTTCTTTAGGTTTGAAGTTGAAAAACGTATAATAGTGAAGCACACCTGCAAAAGCTTTATTTGTTTCTTATTTTTCAGGTAACATATTGTTTTTTATTAATCTTAAATGCATCTTATGTTGAGTCTTGCATTGATTAGGCATTTTTGTTTAGGTGAAGAATAAAATCGAACCAACATGTGGGTGTTTGGGAATGTTAATAGCAGGGGAAGAAAGAAATATATAAACAACCACAAAGAGTGAAGTACAAAGGATACTTAATTAGGTATTTTCTGATGCATTTTATATATTTTAATTTGATTTTTTTTGCTTATAAACATTATTTTATTATTTTGATATTTCTGATTTGTAAACTCAAATTTAATTTGTTAGTTGTATTTGATTAAGGTTGGCATGGAGACTAGCAATTATGGGTACGTAAAATCATTTAAAATTGAAGCTGAAGTGATGTATCCCAAGAGCAACCAATAATTAACAAGTTCATGGTTTAAGAAGCTGATGAGCCCCCTGTAAACAAGAGGTATAACAATCTTTTTTTCAACTCACTTATTAATAAAATAAAGAAAAGTATATTCTTATTGTTATTAATTTCAGTGGCAATATTTGTTTTTTTATTAGTTTACAGGCCTCAACATTCGCAGGGCATTCTCATATTTTTTTGTATATACTCCACCTTATGTCCAACAAGGTAAAGATTGTTTAGTTGAAGAATCATTGAAACCTGATAAATGTACAAAGGGATTCCTACAACTTCAAGTATTGAAATGTCAAAAAATGTAGCTGTTAATGATGTACTTTTTGGAATATGTAAAGAACTTCTCTATCGACCTGTGGTTCTTAATTGTGGACATGGTAAGTGCTCAAAAAATTCATAGCACTATAAATTATATATGGTTAATGTTTATTTTATGGTAACAAATTATGACATCTCTCAACTTTTTTACTCAAATAACACCAATATTTTTTATTATTTATTAATATATGTTATTTACTAGATTAAATTACACATTTGGTAGCTGAAAGTGGGGAAAGTAGGGCTAATTATATTTCCATTTTGCAGTGTTTATCATGATGAAATTGTAATCATCGGGTTTCAGGAATTGAGATTCTCTCTGGAGGAATTATTAGGTTACAAGTGTTCCAAGCAGAGGTCAACAATATATTCGTACGTTTTCTCCATGGAATGTAAGAGGATCTTTATTTTTTCTAATTATATAATCCTTTAATTTGAAGATATTTTTTGACACTAACTTCTGTTTTTTGGTTTTAAAATTTAGTGGTGAGCCAACTACAGGAAACACAAGGGCGCCCGAGACAATTCTTAGGCAACTTAATACCAAAAAGGGGCAGGTATTTTAAACAACATGTAGCAATCAATCAGCAATTAGCTTTTTTCTTTTATTAAAATTTGTTAAAACTGAAGATGCAATATCAAATATCAAATATGAAAGTTGAAATGCTATTATAAGGTATATAGTATGCTTCAACCAAAAACAGATGTAGACACATTGTTAGCTATGGGAATTATGGAAGACGTTAGTATTGTTCCACAGCCCGCTGGAGGTAACATAATTAATGACACTCCAATTTATATAATCAAGATTGAGAAAATAGAAGAAAGTCTTCTTTATAAATCAAAGATGCTGCAATTTCTACAGATTCAGGGAAGGTGGACCTCACTATTAATGCAGTTGAACGTATAAGTGGAGGTATCTCAGCTGGAGGTGGAATTTCAAGTGGGTATGTTATTATTATTATTTTTTTTTTTATAAAAAAAGGATTTCATCATTTTGATAATTCGATGTATCGTTGTTGATATATAGTTGTTTTACTTATGAGTTCTTTCATATGCAAAATCGCAAGTGGCCCTTTAGCAGGACTTATGGAAAGGTAATAAGTAATAACTAATAATATAATGTGAAAGATTATACTTTTAATTGTTTTTTTACATGGTTTTGACTTCTGTTTGTATAATTTTTTTTTATTAAAGTTATGCACTTTATCATCGAAATCTATTTGGGAGGAAATATAATTTGACATGGTATATCCACAAAATTTATTAGGGAGATATTTACGACATCCTAATTTGAAGTGTCGGTGTGGACACTACTTTTATCGATTTTTAATGTTATATCCTCTTTATAAATAATCAGTCTCATTTCCTTAACAAAATAAACTGTAGCTTATTGATTGGCGGTTTTCTTCTTGTGTGACCAGGTTGATGTCAAAAGTTTCATTCTGCCTTTTTCTTTTTTTTTTTTTTTTTTTTTTAGTGGGACACCCGCTTGTAGGCATCACTGCTATTGCTGACGATGGGGGTAGTGGGTTGGAGTCGTGATGGTGTTTTGCCTTTGCTCACCTCTTCTATTTCTCACCTTCTTATTCCTTTTATCTCTATCATTGGTGAAGAAGAAGACCACGACACCTGCGATGGAACCCTTCGAAGCTAGAATTATTATTCTTAGCTTTTAGTTACTTTATTTCATTATTATTTTTCATGCTTTTAATATGCCTCTGTTGCGGTTTATCCGTATTTAACCGAAGTATCCATCATGTTATCTAATAACACAGTTCACAAGATAAACAGATTCTATGTGATTCACTGATCAATTGCTACGACTTCACTCATACGCACTCTTCCAACAATTCTAGATGAATACAAACCTTATACATACAACTTCCCAGGTAAAACAATTTTTCTAAATATAAATATCTTTTACTTCAGCTTCACTAACACAATTCACTCCATATAAATATAAATGCCTACCATATCCAGTGTAATCATGTTATCAGATTAGTTTACCACATTTTGATAGTTACTTGATAACGAAGACAGCAGCAAGCAACAAAGGTGATACTGTTTTTACAGTTAAAAAAATTTGTATTCTAACATTTTTGCACCAAATTGCTCATGCATACTCTTTCTATAGTTTAAATTTTTGATTTTAAGATTTTTGGACCAAGCTGCCCCTGCATAAAAAAACTGATTTTAACACTTTTGTACCAAAACTGCCCCTGCATACTATTTTTTATACTTAGAAAAAAATTGATTTTAACAGCTGTGGATCAAAATGCCCCTGCATACTGTTTTTGAACTTTAAAAAAAACTGATTTTAACACTTTTGTACCAAAATTGCCCCTGCATACTATTTTTTATACTTAAAAAAAAATTGGTTTTAACAGCTGTGGACCAAAATACCCCTGCATACTGTTTTTGAACTTAAAAAAAACTGATTTTAACACTTTTCATCTGTATAAAACCGTTTCTCCACAAGTCCTTTTTAATTGGAGTGAGAAATCCAACATTTTTCTATTTTTTTTGCTGGGGCATTGGTTACTGAACATGAGTTTTGTGGTGGCTTGATTACACTTCCAATTCAGGTTACATACATAATTTCATAATCTATTTATTTTTGGTTATCTGTAAGATCTGATATAGTAGTTGTGACAATCTATTTCCTACCCCTACTTCAAATCATCTTGTGTTTTTTTTAGGAAAATTACAAAAAAAAAAAACATTATATTTTGGGAACTTTTGCAGTTTAACTACTTATACTTTATTTTATTTTTTTGCATCAAACAATAAAAGTTTCACACGTCAAAACAGGTATGCTCTGTGTAGTAAGTTACATTTTCTATTAAAACTGCATAACTAGAGAAATGCTTTTATAAAGTGGGTAAAAAATTAAATTAAGGGTATTTTGGTCTTTTTATTAAATAATGATAGATTCTGATTAAATTCTTTTCTTCCCAGAATATGGACTTTGAGAATCATTCCATTCCAAAATCATTAAACGAACCAAATAATTCTACATAATGACCAAAAATGTTTTTGTTTGATGGATCATTGGGTAGAGATGCTTCAACTGGAAGAGGAGTACTTTTTGCAATAGATGCCCTTCTTAATAACCACAGAATGAGTGTTTCCGGTCAACAGTGTGACATACAGGTACATACATACATAATACATATATAGAAGCATACATGTTCTGATTCTATTCCGTTGTCTCAGGGATTCGAAAACATTGGTTGCTGGGCTACTGAACTCATTCACAAAGGAGGTGAAAATTTTGTAGCAATGAGTAATATGACTGAAGCAATACGTGACAAAAATGGAATCGAAATTCCATGTCTAATGACACATGTGTAGGAACAAAAAGGAGTAAAAGGATTTGTTGGAGCAAATGCATATCAGCTTAAAGTAATTCATAGCATACTCGACCTATTGTACGACTTTTTGATTTTACACATCAGATTTTCCAACCACCTGGTTATCAGCAATTTCATTCCCCCTTCTAACCCCCGCAACGCGGGGAACCTTTCCTAGTTATATATCAATATTTTTGGTGGAACATCACCGTAAGGCTTAATTTCAATTGAAATATCTGTATTTGATTTTAAGTTTGATGATAATTAATCATCTTTGTTGTGCAATTTACATTATGCTAAACCCAGAGGATTTAACATTTTCATTTTCTTATGACCTACAAGAATCTGGAATCTACTGTTTAAAACCAAGAGAAGCAATTGAATTTCTTTTTTGGTGTCTCAAGATGGGCTTTATATTTCTTTTTAGTGTCTTTAAATTAAGACCTATTAGTGCCATGAAATATGGCAGTTTATAATGGTTTGCCAATACAATTTACTTGGATTATATTTTAACTAAACTGATAATAATTTTATCTTCATAGTTCAACCAAGTATTTCAAAACCCACATTAGAGTTTTTGCTTCCTCTTTATCATGATGTAAAGATGCAAAATTGCGTAAAATACAAAATTTCGGTGTACTGTATGATTATCTTCTTAGTTTATTTATCCTCTAAATTACCATTGCAAATGGTTTTATTATGTGGATCGCATATAAATTTCTTTTGCAACTACAATAAATTTAGTTTTTTTTTTCTTCAATGGCCTTTTATTACACAATTATTTATTTAATTGGCTAATGATTCATAAACTTGATATATTGCCAGTGATAATTGATGAGTGGTAACTTTGATATTGGACTTAATTGGCTGGACCAAAGAAAAGTTTCGTATGTTTAGTATTGAAGTTAATTAATACCACATTAAAAAATTGTTTGAATTATTATTCAAGAACCCAAAGGTTAATTGGACAATAGTTCATATAATGAAATTTAAGCATAATATGCATAAATATTGTATTTCTACCCAAAGATGGCTACAGTATTTATGTGGCGTGATATAATTTTGGGACACATTATATCTAATTGTTAGTTTAGCTAAAGCGAAACTGATAATTGGATAAGGTGTGTATAAGACCTACATTTTGGTGTTAAAGATAGGTATATTGATATGCTTTAATTTTGTTATCCCACAAATTACTTTTATATCACTTTAAATTTAAATTGCAATGCTCAGTAAGCGAGACGAGTAGTTCTATTATGGTCTAAAAGACAAGTACAAGTACAAGTGGAACATATATGCCTATAGCAAAAAATAAGTAAATAAATAAAAAATAAAAAATAAAAAATAAAAATAAAAATAAAATCCTTTCGAATTTTGTCATCCAATTGGCATACTTAACGAGATTGCCCAATTTATGGAATGACATGCAAAAAAAGGCAATTTAAATACATATATGATTTATGAGTGCCTTAATATTGATGTTCATATTAATACACGATGATGGATTATGGTTTCCATGGTACATGTATATTTTTTATTACAGGGATTTTGTACAATCCAGAAGTTGAATTGAAGTCGGAGGGCAATTAAAGTAGGGAAGGCTGAAGACTTAAACATAAAAAAAATAATAATAATAATAAAATAAAATAAAAATAAAAAAAATAAATGTGGTCCACCTTCATTATTTTTGAAAGTGGTTATTGTTTAAGTTTTAATGATACTTTTTATGTATCAAGTATAACTTGAAACTTATTATTGTATCTAAGTTAGTGAATGTTGGCTATAGTTTTACATTTGGATACATTGATGTAACTATTAGTTTCAATTCTCATATTGTTGGCTATGATTGGTAACTATGGTTGTTTTGGGGTTACCTCTAAAATTGCAACTTGAAAACCACTTCTGGAATCATTATTATTGTGTAATGTTAATGAAAATTTAAAAGGAACTAAGAACTGGAGACCTCATATGTGTTGTGGCATTAACACTTAGGTCACATATCACATAATAAATTGTTATGTCTTGTAAAATAAGTTCTAGTATAATTTGACTTCTCAAATTTCAACCCTAATTTGACTTCTCAAATTTCAATAAATGCAATATGTATAAAAAGGAATAAGGAAGGATTTACAAGAAGTTTGTAATTTCATATTGACATCTATAAACCTTTTGCATGGGACATAAGTGGTCATAAATCATATATATACATTTAAAAATTCACTCTTATTCGTACTTATTGCATGAAAAACTTAGATCTCCTAAGATGCTTAAAACCTTTTTGGAAAGAGTTTGACTTGAATATAAAAGTAATGAGATCAGACATAGGTGATCTTTATTATGGTGAGTATAGGGATTTTGGTCAAGTTCCTCGATATTTCTATGATTTTTGTAAATATCATGACATAATTAACCAATACATTATGCCTAGTACTCCTCAATATAACCATGTTCTCGAGAGGAAGAAGAGAACCTTAATCGACATAGTGGAAGATATCTTTAAAATACTAACTTGACCCAATTTCTATGGACCATGGCATTAAAACTGGAGGTCCGTATCTTGAATTAAGTTCCTTTAAAGTCTATCTCATAACTATTTTGAGATTTAGAAAAGAATGAAACTAAGCTTAATTAATTTAAGGGAGTGATATGTCCGACCTAAACAAAGCTCCAGACCCCTCAATTCCATAAACCCAATACGAAAATTGTAATTTGCTTCCTCATACTGATTTCCGTCACATAGTACCCAAATTCTAAAAATGAAGTTTGTCAAATTTCTTGAGAGTGTCAAAATCAGTGGGAGTGGTTTATTGAAGGATTCTGACCTCCAAGAATCCAATGAAGAGACACCTATATTTCAAGTGCCCATTACACTTAGCAATCCATTTGGAGATTCAAGTTAATATATTTTGTGTCATAAGAAAGACTCTTCAAATGTAGGGGCAAATGAAAGACCACAACAATGGTCCTACTTAATTTACTGACACTGAATCTCATAAATTCAATAACTTGTAAGACATTTTCTACGATGAAGGCGAATCATAAGTTCTATGAAGGCGACCCACAAATTCTATCATAAAGTTGTCAGTTAATATAAAAGAATAATGTTAGGGAACTTCCGTAATTCAAAGGGTTTTACCCATAG